CCGCCAACCCCCGGCCCGGCGCGGACTCGCTGGGCCGGGGGCGTGTCGGGTCCGCCCGCGCCGCTGCTGGCCGTGCGCTGCCCGGGGTCTCCGGAGCCCTGGTCGCAGCCGTTACTGCCCTTGGAAACTTCTTCCTGTGACTCCCACGTGCCCCCGAGAGCCTGCTCACTAACGCTTGTGACTTTTTCCTAGTGGGTGTCGCAGACTGTGTCGCCAACGCCGCGATGCTGGGCCTGGCTGGGTTTGTCGTGTTAAGCCGACGTCGTTGTAAAACTGCTGGAGTTTGAGTTCCCTTATTTGCCTGTTTGCCAGGCGGGCGGCTCGTGCCGAATCCTGCCTCCCGGGTCTGGTGGTTCAGGGAGGAATGAACCGGCGACCGCTCCGTTTTCCACTCCGGGACAGTTAGGGGCTCAGGGCTGACGCGCCGTTGATGGAAGATTTTGAAGACTTCTGGTTGTGACAGCATCACCCCGTCTTTATAATGCGATGACTCAGAATCAACTTTATAGTAAAATTGGCTCACTGTCTTCGGGAGACCTCCCTGAGTCGCTCAGCTGCAGAGAAAACATTTGAACAGCTGCTTCCCGGAGCCCTGGGAAAGTTAGGGGAGGCCCAGGTATCTGAGATTACCTGCAACAACAGACCTACGTTTTCTTGTCAGGCTGAAGATTTTCTTCGAGGTTGAGTCCTTGTGTCATTCTGAAGGTGTTTTGTCAGTGGTGACACCGCCCTTTTTTTTTTTTTTTTTTTTTTTTGAGACACCACCCTAATTTTTGCTGTAGGGGGTGTTCCCTTGCCAGAGAGGGAGAGACAGACAGAAAGCGAAAGATCACCTTCTAGGGGGATGGCCCTGCAGCAGTCTCCTCTCCATTCTCCTCTCAGTCTTGGCACACACACATCCAGTGTGAGTTTTAAACCACTGGATTTGGGACTTGAACATGGTCAAGTCCAGTGATATAACCATTATGCCATCTGCTGATCCCTGAAGAAGCTGCCTTTGAGTGCCTAGTCAATCAACCCTATTTGCACGTCTTTAAATCTTGTTAGCAAGGTAACACTATGATACTGGCAGATTTCAGACTCTCTAGGATGCATTGGTCCTTCACAAATGCCTTGGAGGAGTTCGCCTGCTGTACTTGTGGATTATAAACATGCACTTGGGCTAATCTGAGACTTCCCGGGGTATTTCTTAGCATTAGCCCTCTCGTACAGCATTCATGAAGCTCTCCCGCAGCGCAGCAGGACAGGGTCGCGTGTGCTGGCCGCCCGCTCCGCCCTTGTGCCCGAGAGGCGGGGGGGGGGGTTTCCAGTGCCCTGCTAACCCAGCCGGTGTTCAGGGACCACTGGCTGGGAATCCGCTTTAAGTAAATTGCTGCTTTAGGAGAGTCCTCATAGATTTAGCGAAGTACCTAATTTACTGAATAAAAGACTTGGATTTGTGGGTATGAGGTGTGCATCCTTGTGATTAGAATTCATTTTATTACCTAGAAAGTTTCTATTTCAGTTTTTGAATCCCTTGTCTGCTAAACTTTTATCCACTGCTTTAAGAAGGTAGCTGTCTTACAAGGAAGCGTGCTTAATAAAGTGTGTATATGTGAATTTAAAAGTGCTGAGTACATGAACTGCAAGAACAGTGTATGGCGTGTGTGCTTGGCAGCAGAAGTGCCACAGTGTGGTATTTGAACCCGTGATTAAAGAGCAGGAGAGTTGTTTAGGTCCAAGGTGGGCTCTCTTAGGCTGTCTACCCTTCCCTGGGCTTTTCTTTTCTCATTTTTTATATTTCTTTAAAGCATAAGCTGCATGCCAGAGAATAGCATATGCTGGCCACGAGTTGGACGCCGAGAGCGGAAAGACCAGACGCTCGCTTTCTGCCTTCTCAGCCCCGTGGTGCACACCATGCTGTGGAAGAGGGAGCGTCTGCGGCAAATAACCCAAATAAACCAAGCGGGAATGTGCCAGCTCAGAGGAGCCACTTCCAGGGGAGGGGCAGTAGTGCCCTTGGGCCAGCGGGAGGTGTCACTGGGCAGCCAGGGTGGCTCCAGGTGAGCCTGTGAAGTTGCTTCTGGCCTGGATTTCGAAGGAACATGCTTGCTAAGCTGAAACTGAACTTTCTGCCTTAATCCTAAAGCAGAGGAGGCAGGGGGACGTCAGTAAAGAACAGAGTGGGGCCCACCGAGCAAAAGGCAGCTCACACTTGGGACTGCACTGCGTCAGTGACCCCGAGTCTGACGTGGATGCTGCTCCGGCTCTGGTCCCTTTCCGGGGGCTTCGAGGGCTCTGTGCAGTTGCTCTCTAGCAAGGGCATTCACGAGAGCGCTGGTGTGTTTTGGCTGAGGTTACAAGGTAAAACGGTACACGTGGCAGTTCTGGCCTGAGAACTTGCCTTCCCAGCTAGGCCGGCAGACTGCAGAGCTTCATGGAGACAGCAGCGGTGCTCACTGGGAGGCAGAGCCGCGCACTTGGAGGTCGGAGTGTCCCGATGTCCGGCAGGCAAGGACAGTAAACGCTGGTTCTGTGAATTTGGGGAAGGCAGTTTCTCTCCAGTAAATTATTCAAACATGCTGTCAGTTGTTTAAGTGGTCCTGTAAGCGCAGGTGCCTGGAAGGCTCGGGCTTGTAGGGGGGCCTGGGCGCTGCAGGGAGCCGGGCTGGGCTTGGGCGGGGAACTTGCGCTGGGAGGAACCTGATGGAAATGGAAGCACTGCTTTCCACACGTCCACCAGCTAAGGAACAGATACTGCGGTAAGGGTGTCCCTCTACCTCGGGGGAGACGTGCTTTGCCTGGCAGCCGGCAGGGTGCTGCTGTGCATTACTGAGGCCGGGACGAGTTGCCTGGAACCCAGTGGCAGCTTCTGTGAGCAGAGGCGCGTGTTCCTGGCTGTGACACCGCGTGGCCTCGTGTGGGCACACTGCGGTCAGTGTCTGCACAGCTCCTTTCTCTGGGCACGCCCATCTGCCTGCATCTCCTGTCTTGTAGACAAAACTGCACCTGAGCCTGTGGGCGAGGCGCCTCAGGCCCATCGTTCCTCCTGTGGTGCCATGGTGGCCTCCTCCCCCCCAGGGAGCTGTGCTGATGTAGACAGGGCAGGGGGATCGGGGCGCACTCAGTGGTGTGGCACAGGTGCAGCGAGGAGACCACTGGGCCGGCCAAGGAAGGAGCAGCTGGTTCTGCTTGGGACACGCGGGAGCCACTTCTCATTTCAGAGCTGAGTTTGGAAGGATGACTATTTTTGCTGAATAGGGCATTTCCAAAGTAGCATGTTCAAGGTCAAGTTCAGGAAGAGTGGTCAGAATCCACCTGCGAATAGTCAGCCTTGGGGCTGGCAGGTGGTGTGGTGGTTAGGACATTGGACTCCCACATGGCCAACCGTGGTTTGAGTTCCGGACCTGGGGCTTGCTTTATTGCTTTCTCTTTCTCTGTGTGTGTGTCTCTGGAAATATTAACAAATAATAATAAAGTTAAATAAATCTTTAAAAAAAGTAGGCAGTCTTAGGTGTTTTCTTAAAGTGTGGGGACCACCACTCCTCCACCCCGTGTGATGGG